AAACATTCGTGGCCCACCGTCCAACACCAGTCCGTGAGACCGGCCGCCCGTCGGTAGGCCTCCAAGATCCGGTCCGTGACGCAGCACCGGCTGTCGTTCATCAGGTCCGCCTTGTGGGCCAATAAGACCCGAGGGATGTGCGCAGGGACGTAGTGAGCGAGGAGGTGCTGCCAGGCATCGACGGCCGCCAGCGAAGCCCGGTTTCCCACGTCAAAGACAAGGAAGACACCGGCCACGTGGGTGCAGATCAAGGCGTGGTGACTGGGGGAGGCGGTGAGCTCCTTGTGACTCACGTCCCAAAAGTGCAGGTGCACAGGACGCGTGTCGTCTCGGACACGGATTATGCTGCCCTTATGGGCCGTGGTGGTGTTCGTAGGGAGGAAATTTTCGGATGCGCCCGCTTTGTTGTCCAAGGAGCCGGGGAGAGGTTTATTTCGCACGGTCATTGGTTGCGGGGGGAGGGGGTAGACGATCACGTCCACGCCGACCGTTGGAACATATTGTAAGCCGTGCAAGGGTTCATTGAAAAAGCGACGAATGAAGCTTGTTTTGCCAACCGCGGCTCCGCCCACAAGGAGAATTTTTTGAGTAACTTCGAGCTGAACGGGAGGAAGTGGATTCATAAGGGCCAAGGAGGGGCGCAGACGGGCCAAAAGCTCAGTGTCCGCAGACCATGTGTATATAATCCATTTAAAAAGTGCTGTTTTTGATAGATGCATTGGAAAAATGAGGGTTTCGTGGCATTCAAAGGGAAGGGAACCGGACCAGGAGGTGGGCTGAAAGTGAACTCCAGGAACATTAAAACATCGTATGCAACACGACGATTACTTTCCTGTCTCCTAACCACCACAAGTGCCTGTATAAATGCTCCGTACATATGTATCCGTCCGTCGCACACCCTTCCCAGGCCTCGCGGAGTGACTTCCATGCAAGCAGGGGCCTGTCTGGCCGCCTGGGAGGGTCTCGCTAAGAAAGGAAAGCCTCGCCAGCCCATTCCATGCACATTTCAACCTCGACCTCTTCTAACAAGAACACCCCATTCACACGCTCATTATCCCCTCCATACCCTCTTATACAGCAGGACAGTCCATGGCTTCCTATGGCCATCATCAGCCGCAACAATGGTACGCGGGTGGTCCCTCCTCATTCGACACTAGGGCGGGCGCTATGGCGGGCGCACCAGGAGGCTCATACCCCGCCCCTGGCATGAGTGGAGCGGGGACTGTACCGGGAAGCAATTATCTCGCACAAGGAGTGAGTGGAGGCAGTACGATGGTGAATGGCGGTGGTGGGCAGTGGGGGGGGTCCATGGATTCCGGCGGAGGAGAGGAGGACTACTCGATGGAGCCCCCGCTGCTCGTTGAATTGGGCATTAATTTTCAGCATATATGGGAGAAGACCAAGACAGTTTTGATGCCGCTGGGATCCATGGACGAGCATATCATGGACGATGCGGACTTGGCGGGGCCTCTTTTCTTCCTACTCTCCTTTGGCATTTTCTTATTGATGACGGGAAAGGTGCATTTCGGGTATATATACGGATTCGGTGTTTCAGGCTGCATCGCTATGTATCTGGTTCTGAATCTTCTGGTGAGGGAACGGGATGATATGGGAGGTTATGGGGGGGATGTGGGTGGATATGCACGCATGAATGGTGCGTAGATGGGATCGTCCTGATATGGCCTACGGTGGGCAGAGGGATTGGCCTTTCCAGGGTCGTATTTGGCTAAAACCTGTCCGTGCCGATTCCTTGAATATGGTCCTGACGAACCTGTCCCTCTCCTCCATTTCCTGCGTTGCCATGCTCGGATGCGACGTCCCACTCCCTGTACTCTCTTCTTCCTTCCCCACCCCAGAGCCCCAAGGACATCGACGTCTGGCGCGTCTGCTCCATCCTCGGCTACGGCCTCCTCCCCGTCATAGGCCTGGCCTTCCTGGGCATTGCCGTCTCGCTCAAGGGCGGCGTGGGCCAGGGTCTCGCCACCCTGACGATTGCGTGGTCCACGTACGCCTCCACTCGCCTCTTCGAGAAGGCCCTGAACATGAGTCAGCAGAGGTATCTGGTTGCCTACCCCGTCGCCCTTGTATATGCGATTTTCGTGCTGATCACGGTCTTTTGATAACATGATTCGCAGGGCAGAGGGACGGGAAGGGAGGGGCGTCGGGGCCGTGGGGTGGCAGTGTAAACTGGGTGTGAGGGTTACACATACACAATATTGGAAACCCAAAGAAGCAAAGAATGGCACGCTGAAGTACCACTCAAGAATATGTCTGGTGGTGTCGCGAGTGAGCTGTGAGGCAACCTTTTAAAATTCTTTCCAGGGTCCCTCTGGTCCTCGCCCTCCCTTCCTCCTTCTCTCTTCCATGCCCCCCTCTCGTGTCAAATATTCCTCCCCAGACTCCTCGGTTCTCCATCTCAAGTTTCTTCCCAAAATTCCGCACCTCTTCCCGCCTTTACGTCTTGGTGCTCCGCATGCCTACGGCTTTTTTCCCTCCTCCGTCCTGCCTCCCACCCGCCTGTCTTGAGTCAAGACACAAAATTCCTGACCTCCGTTTCTGCTCAAACCCCCCTTTCCACCAACCCCTCACCCGTAGCTGTCGCCCCTACGCTTTGTCACTGAACTGAACGAAAAAAAGGGATTGAAAAAGGAAAAGAGCCAGGCGACTGTGAACGGAGGCAAATGCGGGCGCCACCTCCTGCAACCTCCGGAGAGCCTTTGAGACGGCGCCCTACCACCCCTGTCCAGACCCCCTGTGTCCCATGGGATGGGCCGCACGATCTTTCTGCCCATCGACCTCGCGTGCGTGCACCACTTCCCCTCCTCCCCCTCCAAATTTGGGAATGAATGTCTCTGTTTCTGCTAGTTACATCGGCGCGGACTCATGTCTCGCCACACTGCACAACTTTGCAGGCCTTTTGCCTGTCCTGCCTCCCTCCCTCCACCCCTCCTTCGCTTCCTCTGTCCTTCCCGCCGCCCTCACGAAATCGCCACGAACTCTTCCGGGCGTGCGTACTTGTGTTTATGCCTGAATTCATGCAAAGGCAAACGAGAGGGTGAGCTGTGGTAGGAGGCAAGGACGACCAGCGAGGCCTTTGTGACCCCCGATAGGACAAGGGCGAGAGCAAAAGCTCGTCCTTCCCCTCCACCACCGCGTGTGTGGTAGAGCGGGAGGGAGGGAAAGAGAAGATGCCGTGAGTCAAGGGCGACGTACCGTTGGAAGAGTGCCTGCACCTCATCGCAGTACCGCTGCAGCCACTCCTCCACCACCTCAGGCGCGGGTTCCCCC